ATCCACTTAGTCTACTATTTGAATCCCGTACTGCAAGTCCTTGGAAATTGCCCGTCTTCCATTATGATCCTATAATACTTGGATTTCTCTCTCGTTTCAACCTCCTCAGGGTATTGGTCATCATCCATAATGAAATGCTACGGTTCGACTCATTTCCACTTGTGATTACAAAGTTATTTCATTTGAGATATCTCCATGTTGAACGTTTAAGCATGAATATTCCTGAATCAATCTCAGAGCTTCTGAATTTGCAAACTCTTATTTCTAGCTGCAGTCCTTTATTCAGAATGACATTACCTAAGAAGATATGGTTGATGAAGAACTTGAAGTACATATCTTTAGGGAGAAACACTTACTTACCAAGTCCTAGAATAAATAAGAATCTTGTGACAGTGATGCCAAATCTAGAGAAATTTTTCGGTCTTTGTTACTCAAGTTGTACAAATGAAGTCTTTTCTAGCATTCCCAATCTAAAGATATTGACCATTCATGTACCTTTGACATTTAAAGAAGAAATTATTCCCTATCGTTTCTTGGATATGTCGAGCTTGATAAAACTTGAGGCATTCAAGCTTTTCTGGGACAAGAATTGGGAAAACCCCATCAAGACATTTGTTTTTCCAACATCACTTAGGAGGTTGACTTTAACTTTTTGTAGTAAGTTCATTTGGGAAGAGATATCATCAACTTTTATCATGTTGCCAAATCTTGAAAAGCTCAAACTTAAATATTGTGGAGCCGATGATGATGCATGGATAATGAGCGATAAAGACATATTCAAAAGCTTGAAGTTGTTGTTACTGAGCCATCTAAATCTTAAGCGTTGGGAAGCTAGCAGTGATAACTTCCCTAATCTAAAACGCCTTGTTCTGAAGAAATGTCCGGACCTGCAAGAAATACCAACAGATTTTGGGGAAATTTGTACTTTGGAATCGATTGAGTTACATGATTGCAGTGCTACTTCTGAGGTTTCTGCTAGAAATATCGAACAAGAACAAGAGGACATGGAAAATAATATCCTTAAGGTCTACATTCATAACAGCCACAGTAAGTTATAATTCTCTCTGAAATGTTCTTCGATTCTTCACCTCATTTTTATTAAATCTTACCTCTTTGAAATTAAGATGATGACTAGTAATTTTTATATTGCATATGCAGGGAATAGAAGCTTCTTTTGAGGGATCATCTAACGCTATCTTCCGAATTCAGAACCTTGCTGTTCATATTTTGTTTTTATATTCTGATTGTTTGTTAAATTCATGTTTTAGGAATAATAAATACGTTAATACATGTTTCAGCCAATTGTGTTTTTGTATTTTGTAAATGGAAACTATTGATGTACTGTAATATCTATGCAATACAAGAACCACTGGTTTCACATTTTGGATCTATTTTCTCTGTTCATTTATAACATGTTTTCATTCATGGGTGGTGCTTTATGTGAATTGAGATACTGGATATCAATTGTCTTTCTCAAGAATGGCAGTAACAGTAAGTAATCTAGCTTCTGATTTGAATGAACGTCAGAGGGTAGAAGTAGACAATGAATGAATTTCTTTTACTTTTTATGAAATTCGACTTCTTTTTAATAGTGTACAATTGATGTTAAGAAATATCATGCGCTTTCAACCAAGTTTGTCGTTGGTTATGAATTCTTTCTCAACCTCCATCGAAGCAGATATCTAGAAACGTACGAACTGGTGTAAAGCTAAGCATCTCCAGAGTGAAAGATATCACGGACAAGTTAATTTGTTTCCATAACAAACTAAGATCATGATTAGTTAACTTTGATGAAATGAAATTGAACAAGAACATACTATATTAATTGCACTGATTGAATAAGAAGACCTTAGTGGCTCGCTTGTTAGGCGGCTCATCAGTGCCTAAATCATCCCGCAAGTTGGTAACTGTTTGTAGTTGAGACGAGATGAGCTGTGATCTTTTTTGTCTTTATTACATTCAAGCTAAGATGCTGTTGGCTAGTTTCCCATTTAACTGATCGTCGTTGACATGCTTTTTTCAATACCTCTTGAAAATAGGTCAATACAAGTTCAAGAAGGAACGGTATCCTAGAAGCAGTCGATTATTTATGGTAATCAAGTTATAGTATCTAGATACCTCTTGTTGATTGTTTATTGAATTGTCTGCTCTGTTTGAACTTTTCTCCATAAAGTCATATGCAGAACATGTTGGATCCTTTTTTATGTTTTTTCACACAAGAGGAACAAGGCGAGTTGTCTGCTCTTGACGTCAAAACGTATCCTGAAAGAATTTCCACTGATCAAGGTCTTGGAAATTGAATCCCTCAAATTTTCCTTCTCCAAGCACTTAAACCATCTATTTCATTTGACATATATCTCTATCTCAGGATTGAAATGACTGACCTCGAGTGTTAAGAGGCTTCAAAATTTCACTTTGCAAATCTCAGGAACTTTTTTCTTCTCCACTGTGATATGCTTAAGAATGTGCTAGATGAGCTGCATATTATATTGGACAGCAGGACATTGCGGAATTGAAAACAAGCAATCTAAGTCAGCTTTGGATTTTACTTAGACATCCGGTCCATGGTCAATCCTAACACTGTAAATATATGTTCTACACGTTTTTGAGGGGAGATTCAGACCTTGGGGTATACAATGTGCGAAGAAGGATAAGAACATCATCGTGATATCAGAAATGTTCATCAAGTTATCAATAGCTCGAGCGTTGAGCATTAGGCGTGATTGAAGCCCGTAGTAGGTGAGTCAAGAAAAATACCTTTTAGAACACTGTAAAGGTGGTTGTAATTTTATCTAATCAGAACAAATAAACAATAATTTGTGCTTTTTAAATTAACTAGAGGCCATCATTATTATATACCAACTCACTAATCATTTTAAATAAACAATGACTTAGTAAGTCAAAATAATTTACTGATGGTGGTTGAAATTAAAGGATGTTATACAATAAGATTTTTATAAATACAAAAGAGTAGTACAACATTTGATATCTTGATTCTTGAATCACATCCTCTCTACTTGTTCAAAAATTATTTTTGTTCCAATTCCTCTCTGTATTGACTTGATGGCAGCTTATACTGCTGTAATTTCTCTACTTCAAACCCTTGATCAACCAAATATTTCAGAACTCTTTCATGGTCACACTGCTGATACGCTCGATTCTTCGTGCCACATCTGAGTATTTTCTGAATGTTCTTGAAAAATCTAGCTATAAGAGTGGGATTGACATTGAAAAAATCAAATCTTTGGAGGAAAAAATTATAGTTGTTGCTAGTGAGGCGGAGTATGTTGTTGAAACAAATATTTCAGAAATCATCAAAGGCGACAGCTGGACATTTGGAATTTTACAACACCAGGATATGCTACCAGTTGTTGAAAAAATGGATAATACAAAGAAACAAGTGATGGAGATTCTTTCTCATGATGATGCTGATCAAATTCTTGAATTAACAGGAGATTTCTTGATTGGCGCTTCTTCTATGAGTGATCCAATGCTGTCAGATCAGTTGAAAGATGATATCGTGCAGGGACTTGATGGTGACTTGAAGATAATAGATAAATGATTGAGAGGACCAACGTCGGATCTAGACATTGTCACCATATCAGGGCAAAACAACACTCGCTGAAAAAGTTTATGACCATCTTCCAATCAGGTATCACTTTGACATTTTTGTTTGGGTTACAATATCTCAAGAATTTCGATATAGAAATGTATTGTGAGAAGCTTTACATTGCATTTCAAAGCAAAGAGTTATTGTGAACACAAAAGATTATGATAAGATGGAAGACAACGAGTTAGCTGACCTGGTGCAAAAGAACCTAAAGGGTCCAAGATACCTTGTTGTTGTTGATGATATTTGGAGTAGGGATGTTTGGGATAGCATATCACAAATATTTGTTTTTCCAGAATCACTTAGAAGATTGTCTTTAACTAGCTGTTGAAACTTTATTTGGGAAGAGATATCATCAACTTTTATCATGTTGCCAAATCTTGAAGAGCTCAAACTTAAACGTTGTCGAGCCGAAGATTATGTATAGAGATTGAGTGACAAAGACATATTCAAAAGCTTGAAGTTATTGTTACTAGCGAGCTAAATCTTATGCGTTGGGAAGCTAGTAGTGATAACTTCCCTAATCTAAAACGCCTTGTTCAAAAGAAATGTGAGGACCTGCAAGAAATTCCAACAGATTTTGGGAAAATGTGTACTTTGGAATCGATTGAGTTACATGATTGTAGCACTACTTCTGAGGTATGGTTTTATCCTTCTATAAATAAAGCATTCTTGCTCATTTGTAGAACACACCAAGTAA